CCCAAGGACCCTAGCCCCAGACCTCCTACGCAGCCGGGCGCAAAGGCCCCCCCCGCTCTTCTCGGCATTACCTCAGTTTACCTTCCCTTGCGCGGACCTTCTCCCCTGCGAACAATCTTCCCCCGCCCTCCCGCAACAAGCCTGTCCAACCAAGTACAACAAGGCCGCGAGGAAGCGGAAATACATCATCCTGTAGCAACGCCCTCCTGCCCTCTCGCCCCTCCCCCTCACGCTCGCCCGCTAACCAGGCCACATCTGGATTCCCCAGCACTCATCCCCGCCCGGCCTTCGGTTTCCGTACAAAATGGCGCCTCACGGCGCTGACGCTCACCTTACGTGGCCTCCGGCCCATCCTCCACCACTGATAAATGACATTGAAATATGAGAGGGTTGTGCTGAGAAAAACTAGGGCGGGTAATGGAAGTCGAGAATCCCTGGTGAGTAAGGAAGTGCTAGAAATAAAACGGAGATTGGACAATCGCCTCAAAGAGATTGCTGCCATCTTACTTTACGGCGCTGGGTTCTGGTTACCCCCAAAGCCACTTCCGGCCTTGCCCAGGAAGTCGGAAGTGGGCTTGTGGGCTTGCGAGCTTCCGGCCGTAGCAGTTCTCGTCGTTCAAGGCAGGCGCCGGCCGTCTCTGCTGCTGGGACGAGGGGTAGTTTTCCAGGAATGACTGTCCTCACTCAAGTGAAGTCAGCGGTGCCCTTAGTTCGTAACGGGGTCTAAACGGCAGCTCTGATAGGTAAATCTCTCCTGCCGGCGTCCCCACCATGGCCCCAGCGCTGCACTTCGCCAGCCCCTTCCCGAGCCAGGCCGTCCCACTGAACGTCATTGCAGTGGGGTCACTGATTACCCCATGAACACTGATTAGAAGTTTAGTTAATCTGAACTCAGTGCTCTCGTGCACCCTGCTCAAAAGCCCGCGAGGAGGAGGAGTTTGTTTACATGGCCTTGTGTATCAATGAAAGGACCTGACCTAAAGTCATCACTTCTGAGTGTCGCCAGGAGAGGCCTGAGGGGAAGGCTTCAGGATGGATGTTTTATTTTTGCAAAAGACCTGACTTCCTCTGAGGTGAACAAGTCAAATGGACTGAATTTTTCCTTCTTCCCTTTGGAACTCCTCCCTACATCCTCTTGCCCCATGAATAACCACATCAGAGAAAAAAAACAAAAAAATTTTTTAAAGAAGAGCCAAATATATTTTTTAAGTGATGTAAAAGTTGTTTTTCAGCAAAATTGGAAATTTTATTTTTTAAATTCCAGAAGTGATTTTTCTCCAGTGAATCAGCGAGACCCTAACACTTCTAAGTAGACAGATCTGATGGATAATGATGCCTCAGACATATCACATTCCTTTTTGTTATTAAGGTGCGGTACAAAAACCATGAAAATTACATACAGAAATCAGAAACTGCTTATTTGTTGTCTACCAGTCTCTTTAATTTTGCAAAACTGGAGTTTCACTGTAATGGTTCCATTTAACCTACCATCTTCTGTGTTCCCTAACCTGAATTTTCTAAACCTTTCCTGTTCAGCACTACTACAATATCTATTATCCTTATATTTTGTCCCACAGCATCTTTTGCCTGTGCATTCATTCCTTAGCAGGCATGAGCTTCAGGTTGTCACATATCTGTTGCATTTGGTGGGAAAACATCTTAAATACATGTAATGCCCAGACTGCTCCTAGATCACATCCTGAGGTTCAGTAGCCTCCCTGATGTCTCCACTGGCCTGCCCCAGGGTTAACTCTCACTCACCAAGAGCAAAAGTGATCTCATCATGTATAGATTGTAATATAATCCCCAGCGGTTTTTCTGCTGAGTTTGGATAATGTTTCAGGTAGCAAGAGGTTAGCTTCTGAGTCACCCTTGTCCTGGGTTTCCTCTTACTTCTCTGACCTGTTGGTTAATTCCTTCATACAGTGTGTTTACTGAGTGTCTGCTACATGCCAGGCACTAGCAGCATGTAACTTATAGTCTGTGGTGCTCATTTTATAAATTGGTGATATTCAAACTAATCACAACTCAGAAATATGTTTTACCTTGCAACCTAGTATACATATATGTATGTGAATATATTAATAACAAAAGTTTCAGGAAAAGGTCTTTACTCAATATGCAAACCGTATTAATATTTGCTATACTATTATTTTTAATGCTGGTGGAGACCTATTCTGTTGATTTCATGAGCCACTCACAGTTTGAAAACCCTGTCCTAAATGTCAGTGCTTCCCAGGCCCTGATGCTAGCCTCTTACCTCATGCAGCCTAAATTCTCTGAAAGCCCTCAACCAAGTGCATGGCTCTGACTCCTACCCATGGCTACTGCTCCTTCCTTGGACCTCTGTCTCTACCCAGAATCCCCACAGATCACATTCTGAGATCCAGAAGCTTCTCAGACCAATGGCCAGTCCATGGCTGCCTCTCACTCATTGCGTACAAATCTGATTTCATCCCCTTTTCCCAAATCCTGCTGCTGCTTCTATATTTACTTTGTTGGTGAATGGTTCTAATCATCAACCTGTTTACTCCAAGGAGAAACCTAGAAGACATCCTAAATGAATCCCCCTGTCTTCACTCTGCATCACATTAAGTATCTCAGAGAGATCCCTCGTCTCCATTTCATTGCCATTACTTCAGCTTAGACCTTCCTCACCTCCCCTGTAGATAATATACCTCAAGAATCTTCTAAATTAGCTCTGTAGCATAGAACTTTGAGCAATGATGCTAATTTCTGTAACCACACTGTTCAATATGGTAGCCACTAGCCATCTGAGGGGTGCTTGAGAGCTTAAAATGTGGCTAGTGCAAGTGAGGAACTAAAATTTTAATTTAAGATAGCCATATATGGCTGGTGACTAATATATTGGACAGCAGAATATCAATGTTCTCCCCACCACAAGTGTACCGCCTTCCAGTCCCTGACACAAATAAACAACCAACCAACCCCTGTTGACTAATGAATGAAATATAAAAATATGAAAGCCATATAAAGATGTTAGTAACGTCACCAATTACTAGGTAGTATCACAACTCATCTCTTTTATTAGTAACTTAATTTCTTCATACAAAAACTGTTATCTTCATGTTTAAAAGCTACCTTTATTAGTTTATTTTTTTCTACCAGTAGAAACTACCTTTTATGGTTTTTTCCTACTATCAGTCAAATATTTAATAAATACCACCATCAGTTGCTCATTAAACATAGTTGACTAGTGTATAGTGATAGAAAGCAGATCAGTAGTTGCCTAGGGGAGTGGTAGGAGGGATTACAAAGTAGCACACAGAAACTTGTGGGTAATGGATGTATTTTCTATCTTGATTGTTAGGAAGATTTGATTTGTGTATACGTTTGTCAGAAGTTTTCAAACTTTACATTTCAATATCTGAAATTTTGTATATCAATTATACCTCAGTAAAGCTGTTTTTTAAAAAATCTGATTGAATACTTGCTGCTCCCAGAAATAGAGTCTACCAATAAAGGTTGATAAAAGGGACAGCCTTTACTCAAATGCCAGAATTATTTCTACCCTTGTTAAATCTACTGGGTTTTTCCAGAAGTAAATTATTTTCCCTGACTTGCTCATGTCATTTGACAATAAAAAAAAAGCAAACACTTATGCAGTGCTTATCTTGTACAGGCACTGTTCTGAGCAGTTTATATCTATTCATTTGATCCTCATGACAACAAACAGGTATATTGTACCTCCATTTTACAATTAAGGAACTAGAGGTTAAATAACTTGATCCAGTTTAGTGGAGAGTTGGAGAGAACAGACTGGAAAGGCAGGTTGGAACAGGTGAAAAAGGGACAATATCATATCAGGAGAGTAAACTTCACTTAGTGGTTAATACAAACCTTTGACAGTTTTTGAGCAGGAGTACGACACACCCAGAGCTTATTTTAGGGAAACTCATATGGCAGTTCATAGCTGTATTCGCCAATGCCTAGAACACTACCTGGCATATAGTAGGCCCTCCATAAATATCTTGAATATTTATGGAACCATGTTGGGAGTTACTTATTGATGTAGATTTGTGGGGAAAGACAACCATTTGGATCCAATATTTTCAAGTTGTCAAATATGCCCATAACTTTATTCTTGACCTTCTAACTTTCTCTCACTATGCTCATTATTACTGTTCCAATTATCATTCCCCTCTATAATGACTCCCATAAGAAACAAAAATACACCTTCCTGTATTTTCTCTTCATGGTTTGAGTTCTTCCCTCCATAGCTACACAAAAGAAAGTTCTGTAATCGAGCCCTCTTTCACATGACAGTGTGTCAAACCTTGTGTACAGTCATCATGTACAAATTTCTCTTTTCCAGGTTAAATATTCTCAGCCCATTCAGTTATGTGATGTATCTATCACCATCCTAGTCACTCCTCTGGAACTGGCCAATGTCACTTAAATGCATGACATCAGTACTGAACAGTGAGTCCAGAAATATCCTAATTAGTCCATCTATCTGGCTTGAAAAGCTTTGGAATTATCCTCAACCAGTCATCCTCTACACCAGGGGTCCCCAAACCCCAGGCCACGGACCGGTTGTGGTCCGTGCCTGTTAGGAACTGGGCCAAATGGCAGGAGGTGAGTGGCAGGCAGGCAAGCAAAGCTTCATCTGTATTTACAGCCGCTCCCCATCACTTGCATTACCACCTGAGCTCCGCCTTCTGTCAGATCAGCGGTAGCATTAGATTTTTATAGGACCGCGAACCCTACTGTGAACCGCGCATGTGAGGGATATAAGTTGCGTGCTCCTTATGAGAATCTAATGCCTGATGATCTGAGGTGGAGCTGAGGGAGTGATGCTAGCGCTGGGGAATGGCTGCAAATACAGATTATCATTAACAGAGAGGTTTGACTGCACAGAGACCATAATAAATCAATTGCTTGCAGACTCATATCAAAACCCTATCAGTGAGTGGCAAGTGACAATTAAGCTGCATCTGGTGGCAGGCTTTATAGTGGCAAGTGAGTTGATGTGCTTCGATTGTACAGCTGCATCTGCTGGCAGACTTTAAGTCAGAATAGGACACATTTTAGTCCGCGCATGGCCCGCCCATTATTTTATTTACCACTTCCATCCGCGCCTCTTTCCCACACTGTACACTTGTCTCAGTCATGTTTTGGTAATCCCACAAGCTAACCCTAGCCAAAATGAGTAAAAAACAAATGTCA